CGGCGCTGGCGAAGAGAATGGGTCGAACTGTCCAGGTCTGTGGCCACGGATCCTCGCGCGTAGAGAAGCACCAACCGGGACATAATTGAGGCCGGCTAGATCAGTCATGATCGCAGCCGTAACAAGTATAAGTAAGGTAAGTACCTGCGGCACCAGCCTCCGCTTTCGCAAGAACACGTTGATCCAGTGGCTTAGGTTATTTTGTCGAGATCTGAAAACGAACCCACGAAATCAAGAGCACGTGCGCGGATAGTGCTGCTCCTGTGCCCAGTTTCGCCTTTCCGCACTCGTCTTGGTACTTTTTTGAGCATTTTGTGGATAGGTTTCCCTGTATAAATATATTTATAGTGAAGTGATAATCCTCCTTAGTTCTTCCGTGTAAGACAGGTTTTTATATGAATAATATTCACAGTTCTTGCTGCCGGGAAGGTTCGTGAAAAGGCTCGTTTTCTTCGCCGAGTCCCTCTGTGGGTCAGTGTTTCTTTCCGCCGTCACTGTTCTGGGCTTTTCTTGTCTGTCCACAATTCATTTTGCAAAAACCTGTCAGGATATATATTCTCCCAAAGCCGGTCCTGAATCCTTGTAATATTATCCTTTTTCTAACTCGTATACTAAATAACCAAACAAGCTTGTGATTATGTTGGTGTACGAAAACGCCGAGGATTTTCATATTCTTCGGGCCTCCTTTTTAACCTCCAAAGATAACTTGGACGATGTATGTGCCTCATTAGAAGAATTTAAGTGATCAGTTATGTCAGTGTCTGCGGTGACAAGTACAAATTTGTCATTTTAGCCTATGTGTGTACATTTTTAGTTTAAATTTTTATCAGCTTGCACATGAAGATATGATCTAAAGGAAATTCAGTACGCGAGCCCATAGCAACAGCGTCAAGTTATCTACACGCCCAGTTTCTAGTTTTTTTGTCAAGTATAAACTGTACGTGTTATACGTATATTCGTAATAATTTATTGAGACCGCTGATATTATTCGCAAACAACCCTGTCTTACACGGAAAAGGTAGAGATTGTTTCCCATCTCAAACCACCTCACTGGGTATCCATCTGTACAGGTGAGCATATCCAAAAAGTCTGAGAAAATCTACCAGGACGAGTGCGGAAAGGCGAAGTTGGCAAAGGAGCAGCACTATCCTCGCACGCCCTTTTGATTTCGAGCATCGTGTTTTATTGCCACAAGACTTGGCGTTGTTATTTTTCAGATCACAACAAATACACTAAGCCAAGCGCATGCTAA